ACATCCTCAGTGTTGTGCTCACCCTTCTGCTCTTGTCAGCCACACGCAGAAGATAAACCTAATTCACGTTCTGTTTTTGTTTTTTGTTTCTTTCAATTTTATTATTTCTTCCATGGGGGCAAGAGAGAGAGCACTCCCAACATGGTCCCGATGTCATGAGCCACTCTCAGGCTTCAGTCAGCCAGCTCCAAAATATGAGCAATGTTGCCTTTGTCCTCGGGGAAGTCCCTGGATTCAAGCGTGGAGCCTTGCCACAAGGATCTCCTTGCATTTTACTACTACACTGCCCTCAGGTCCTAGCATTCTCGATGTGGTGTACAGAGACACATTGGACTTTGGAGCTGGCAAATCTACATTCCTGTCATGGATCTACCACTGACTGGTTGTTATAACATAAATGAGTTCAGATAAATACAACACTTAACAATCATTCAACAAACATTATTTCCTCTCTCAAATCTGTACGCAGTGCCTTGGGGATTAAATCACAGAACCACGTTTTGTAGAATCTCAATTCCATAATCTATCTCTGGGAGGTCTTTCCGCAATGAAAAGGCTGAAGAATAAAATGACAATTTGAGAACATATCATGATTGTCACTTTAAATCATCAATAACTTTATAGAAAATAGAATCGTTGCCCCATGCTAATCTGTATTTTATGAATAAAGTTTAACTTAGCCACAAGAAAGCTATATTGTTTGGCACTCAGAGAACTCACATTTCCTTTCATCTACACTGGTGTCTCTGAGTGGAAAAGTACAACCCACAGGATTAAACATAAATGAGACAGCAAATATTGGGAGATGAGTAAATATTGATTTTGAAAATACACTCTTAATTTTAAAAGTCAGTCAGCTATTAAATTAGCACCACGGTTACTCTTAGCTCACTTCATTATTCTGTCTTTCCTTTCTCACCGGCTACAGACCAACTCTTTCTCTTTTCTTCAGAAAATTGAACTGAAACCTCTAATTCTGTGCCTGTTTTCTTGCTCCTGCATGACTCAATTTATCCAAATCTTTCACCTAAAATGCCTTCTTATAAGACTCAAACTCAATTCTAAAGAGTACTTCCTTATGTAAAAATTAGATATTCATATGTGTGTGTATATATTAAGTTGTTGGGAAAGTCATGACATATTTTTCTATGTTTTTTCTATGCAAAATGCATCATGATTTTCCTGACAATCAAATATATATGTGTGTGTATTCATTCACATATATATGAGGGGACTTTAAAATGTAAAAGAGTAAAACCAAAGTGTGGGTTTATTTAGGTGCAAAGTTCAAAATCCATGCACAGTTTTCATCATATGTATTTCCAACGTTTTATGCCCATACATACACACACACACACATAAATTCTGTTTATTTCTTGGTGAGTTGCACAACTAATGGATGGTGAGTTCACTAATTGTATCTCAAAGAGAATATAAAGTATTCTGTGTAAGTCAGGACCTGCTGTGTGAGTCAGCTCTATTGTACAATGTGCAATGCTATCTGGCTTCTCAATTACCAATATAAAAAAGTATAGTTCTGAAAAACTGTATTAAATTCTAGATATAAACCCAAAGGAAGTGAAAACAGGTTCTCAAATATATACACATACATGCATATTCACAGGAGATTATTTACAAAAGCCAAAAGATGAAAACAGCCTAAATGCTCATCAAAAGGTGAACAGATAAACAAGTTGTAGGATAGCCACACAATGGAATAGTATTCAGTTGTCAACAAAAGATGTAATACTACTTAGATGACCTTCAAAACACGCTAGGTGAAAGAAACTAGACACACAAGGTCATATGTTTTATGAGTCTACATAGATAAAATATCCAGAATAGGAAATCTATAAAAATGGAACACACATTGATGATTGCCAGGGGCTGGAGGAAGTGGACAATAGGGAGCAATTGCTTAATAGGAAGGGGGCTGGTTATCTATTGGTGTGATAAAAATGTTTTGGAACTAGATAGAGGACATGATTGTACAATATTGTGAATGTAATAAATGCCACTGAATTGCACACTTGCAAATGGTTAATCCTGTGTTATGTGACTTTCGCCTCAATAAAAAGGAAAAAAAATCTGTTAGGCAAAGGTATTTTTATGTAAATTCCTGTAGTCAGTTTAGAAAGAAAAAAATTATTTGCTTTTACTTCCTTCCACATTTATTTCTATGCCCTGTGTTCCAGAAAAGCTAAAGTCACCCAGTACCCCAATGACTTCAACATTGCTAAATCCCATCTACCTTTCTTTTTCTTTAAGGTTTTTGCCATAGGGCATGTTCACTCTCTGGAGAGAGACAAAGAGAGAAAAAGTGACCCCTAGGGGGAATGGTCATGTTGCAGTCCTTTCTCTTCGTGGGATTTTGAGCACTCACAGACATGTCTCCAGTGTCATTTTCAAGCCACCAGTTCTGGGATTTGAACTGCAGTCAACTCTGATCAACCATATGGGAATCCAACACCTTAACCACCATGTCCCCTGCTGGCTCCAACCATCTGCCTGTTTTGGTCTTTTTCTAGTTGAACTGTGGTAACAGATTCTATAGCCTACTGACTCCCCCCACTTCTTGGCCTTTCTGACAACAACTGATTTCTGTTTCTCTTTTCCTCTAACTTATTTCGTCCTTATTCCTTTCCTTCTCTTTTCCTCTAACTTATTTCCTCCTTATTCCTTTCCATGTGGACTTCTTTGGCCTATTTTGTAAATGTAAGGGTTTCTCAGAGCTCAGTCTGTAAAACTGGTCTCTTCTCATTCCTGTACTCTGTGTAGATGCTGACACACATTTATGTATCATCACTGTACACATATCTAAAACCTACACTTTAAATTGGGGTCCTAGGGGCCAGCAGATGACGTAATGGTTACATCGCTGGATTCCCATGTAGTCAGTCATGGTTCAAGTACTGGACTCAATGGCATGAAACATGCTGTGCGCATATGCGTGCATGCCCAAAATCCCGAGAGGAGGATAGAGGAGAAGGGACTGTGGCATGGCCATCCCCCCTGAGGGCTGATTTCATGCTTTCTGTCTGTCTCTCTGGGGAGTGCACATGCCCTGTAGAAAATAAAATCTCTCTCTAAAAATAAATAAATAAATAAATTAGAATTCCAGCCTGGAGCTCCTGTCCCAGATTTCCAACTGCCTTGTGTACCAATTCACACAAGTGTTCCACTGGCTATCCAAAAGGACAAATTCAAAACCAAACTCGTCATCAAGACAGCATAAAAGCAAAGTTGGATCATATTTTACTTACAACCTTCTTCAGATAACCACTAACTTTTTCCTGAATTACCATGACAACCTACTAAACTATTCTAATTCTGTTCTTTCATACAATTTCCTCCCCAAACGGCAGTCACAGCAAGTCTTTACATCATGAATATCCTTCATGTCACTTTCCTAATGGAAACTCAGGATATTTCTAATTGTCCTTGGTTAACATCTAAGTACCCTTACAGAGTATAAAAGATCTTAAAGATAAAGTCCCAGTTAATACAAAATTTTATGTCTTCCAGTGTTCCTGCCACCTACTCAGCCAAAAGCAAAGAAAAAAATTAAAACAAACAATAAAAAATGCTTCCATGGAACTGAATTAGAATTGAAACTGAATTCCTGATGTGATTAGCCAGAAAAATCTCTCAGTAGAAGAAGCTCAACTCAAATGATAACAAAATAAAAAATCAATCAATAAAAACAAAACTTGCGTTGTTTTTACTAATATTTTTATTCATTTAAAAATAAATCAGCATAGAAGATAAGCTGTAGATCTTCATTTGTGTGAATTCCTTCCCAGTAAGTCTTCCCTTTATAAGCAAAGGCATTTTGTTGTTGTTGTTCTGAAGACACTCTAGCTATAGTCAAAAATCACAGATAACTGTCAGAAGCTTTCCTTGCTTATTTTACTTGCAAAAAAAGGTGTCTTAAAAATGACAATTTGAGTGGGTAAATCTTCAGAAAATAATAGATTTCTCCTCTTTTTTCCCTTTTTCCTTTTTTTACATTTTTTCGGATTTCTTGCTACCTGTTATATTAATTAAAAACTACTTTCCCAATCTGTATTCTTATTCTTTGATAATTCCTTTCTCTGAAGCTCCTTGAACGGTCTGTATTGGTACCCACAAACTTCCCTCTGAACCCTAATGCAATAAAAAGCTTGTTCTCTTGCCAAAGGTATTAAACTCTATTTTTGTCATTGTGAGATCTTGTCTTTTGAGTCTAGTCTAAATTCTAAAACAAGACAGTGCTTTCCATATTCTCATGTGACGGTGTATGATCTCAAAGATCTTCCTCCTCACAATTCAGTCCATCTGCTTTTCCCAGCATCTCCGATACTGTTCATCGCAGGGCAGTGTCACCTACAGTTGATGTCATTAGGTAGAACTAAGTAGACAGTTTTATCAAAACCATTCGTGCTAAACTATTGAGAGAACAGTAGTGGCTGCTGATCGTTTCTACCATGTCCTGAATCGCCTATATTTACATCTGCCTTAAACGCTTGCTTTCATGTTTCCTCAGGGCTTTACACATTCGTTTATTCAAAATATTTATAGACTACCTTCACAACGAACACTTAGCTAGATATGTGGGACTATACGGTAAACAAATCAGAGATCCCTGCTCCCAGGGGA